GGACCCGGATGGTGTAGTGGTGAAGTGCGCTGCTCCCCGGTAAGGACAACAGCGCGTGTTCGTTCTCCATTGCATACACCTGTGGTCCGGAGTTTTGCAAATAACTCAGCATTTCATACGAGTTATATTTCGCAACATAACCTGCCATTAAGAAGAAAAAGGCAGTAAATAAAAGAGTTAAGATTGTGAGCAAGGAGAATTCATGTTTGCAAGTGAGAGCGTACCGTGTCAAAACACTGGTCTTCCTTGAATCCTTCCGCATTTTCATAGTGAGCTTTCGAAATACTGACATTTGGAGATTCCCATCGAATTGGTCGTCGGTGCTGTCTGACATGATGTTGATCAAACTTTGCATGAAACCTTTTTGACAACTCTTTTAAAACTTTGAACTTATCCGCAGCTCCATCGTTACGACACTTACATTCTTGATCCATGGAATCGACAGCGGCTATTTCTTGTCGTATTCCGAGCTTCAAAGTACGAATAACTGATCCGTACAAAACGGTCATGATTACCAATGGCACGGCTAGCAAAACAATCGTCATGTACACCTGGAAATTGACTTATTGATCAGAGGAACTGATCAATATTCAGGTTTTCGAAGTCTCCTAGGCACGTCAGTTGTCATAGTTCTGTGGATTTAACACAGACGTGAACACAAAAAATTTTGTATGGAGGCGTAGCACGGTGTGCTTTTAAAAAATGGCCTGAAAACAGGTGTTTTGTGATTCATTGGGTGAAGAAACTAGTTTTTCATAGATTCTTCATGGCGCAAAATTTATTACGCACAGATTTTTTCTCGGTGCGAAAGATGAAAGGGTAGGAAGCATTAAATACACAATCGCTGATGTATCGGCTAGACTTCGCCTTCATCAGAGGGAATTGCTTTCGTCTTCTTTTGTAGGATGTCGACAAAAGGATAAAAATAAAGCTCTCGGCGTTGATCAATCTTTGAGGAATGCACCATGCATTCCACTTGATTAAGCATCGTTTGGAGGTGAATGAATGCATATCTGGCCATTAAAATGACTCGCGGTGGCTTACCGATGTGTCGGACCAGTGCTGCTATCCTCCCAGATAAGTCTGGTACCAAGTTGCCGACTCCGGAAGGATGGAGAGCTTGGTGGGCCATGGGCGCGGGGATCGACTCCTCGTGTGTGTTGCAGGCCGCTTCAGACCACTGCGCCACACGAGCCCAGATTTCGAAGAAGAGTTATAAAAGTCGCTTTTCTATTTTTTCTATGAATGTTTTTTACGCGGCGGAAATCTCAACGGATGCTCTCTCGCCATTGAGAACTAAAAGACGAAGGTACGTGTTTAAAAGAGTGAACCATAGCGATGCTGAGACTGAAAACTCGGAACCACGGGTAGGCATCAAACTAGCGACTACCCTTACCGGTGCTCAAGAGCTACCTACCACACCAACTGAGGCTCTTGTCCTGACATCGGTCGTATTGAAAAAGACAATCGATCGATGTTGTGTATAGAACATAACTCCCGGAAGGGTAATCGTGGATTCGAAACCCGCCTGAGGTTCCGAATTTTGCTCATACCTCAGCAACGTTGAGGTTGCATTCCACATAGTACGCTGCCATGTAAAAGGAATAGGCACTAACTAAAAGCTAAAGAAAGAACGAATACTTTCACATCGGGCAAGGAAAAAGAAACCCAGCAGTAATCTTCAAACCTCATCTTTTTCACTCTTTCGATGTTATCCGCTATTTCGTATCTTTGATCTTTCCATATCACCTGTATCATCTGTAG